GTGGTGCTAAGAATGACGATACTCACTGACGATGCCGGCGAAACGTCTGGGAATGTACCACGTCCACGGTTCAACTTTGGAAGTGATGATGCATACAATGGACTCCGGACAAGGTGCGCTCCGCTAAGTCTTCCTACCAACATGACCAAGTTGCGAAAACAAGGTCAAACAACTTCTATAAAACAAAAGGAGACTGCGACCACACAAAAGGCCACACAATCTTGGTCTTCATACCTTCGATTATTAAAATATATTTTTAATTTTATAAGGCCGGAGACACTTATTTGCATGATACTTGCTGAATAAGCAGCCTACATTTGCAAAGACTTCTTTGTCACTATTTCGAGTCTCTTGAATGCACCCTCAGAGGAAATTGTTTCCTGTGACAGATGATATTCGTCAAGTGTGGAGAGAGACCGACCCATATGAGGACACAACTGGTATTCACGTTTTCGAGTACGGAAACAGGAAGCTGTCCGAGATGGACCGATATCATTCAGTAGAGACGTTGTCTTAGTCACACCAACCAGTGAGACGAATATTTTTGTGATCGAGCTCTCTTAAAGACGAAAAAATCACATACACTCATTCTGAAAAAACACCTTACTCCACGAAGTTTCAAGAACTTGGAAAACACAAAAGGGGTACCATAATCAAGGGCTTTTTATAGGTTATTAGCTAAGCAAATTGATTGATAAATATTAGTACCTCTCAACAAAATGACTAGATAAGCTGATCCTGAATGGTGGTAAAGTAGAGCGGATCAGCATGAACAATTTAAAGTACACATCTGAGCGGATTCTAATAGAGCTGATTTAGCCAAACCGATAATTGCTGAACAAATTAGGGCTGACATGACATGACAAGCGCTGATATGAACTGATTTCAAGTAAGAGATCTGGATTGAGAAGATCGAACATGAGCTGGATTGACTAAACTTTGCTGAGCTAAGCAGAGCTGCTTTGATAAGAACTGAGATTAAGCAATCTGATCCGAACTTATACGATCTTAACTTTTATAAGCTTTGCTGGGCTAAGCTTATTATATCTGAGTTGAGCCGATCTGTGGTTGGCTGCTAACACATCAGCCGTTCTTACAGAAAGTGATCCAAGCTCAGCTGATCTGATCTGATTGAAATTAGATCTTATGAACTGAGCAGATCTTATCTACTTTTAGCTAAGTTTACCTGTTATCAGCTAAAGGTGTTCAGCTGAAATATGTGACTGCATAAAGCCTAAAGACGTTTCTGACCCATTCATTAAAATTAAGTTTCAAAAATTATTCAGGCTAAATTTAGAGAATATATTCACATGATATTGCGATGCATATTTTATTTGGCAAATTATGCACGAATCAGCTGATATTTCGCAGTACCAACTTTTCACCAATCTTGGTGTATTAACAAATGTGCGTAGGGCAACAAAATATGTTGTGCCCAAATGATGGAATTAAGTTGTTGGAAGAAGAGACTCGTAGGCCTATTTCATCAGAAAATGACGACTGATTCACATAGTTATTCAGCCGCTTGGCTTTAATACTACGTTCAAATTGACGCAATCCACGAGACATCCTCCCTAGTTTCGAGGGAAAATGGGCTAAGCTTTGGCTACTTCTCGAACATGATAATTTTAGTTGAATGTGTTTGTGCGTGAGTTCACTTCTATACGCAATACCTGACCCAAATCAGAAGGATCAAAAAGCCTAATGTCAAGCGAAATTACGACATTAAAAAAGGTATCAGCTCATCTTTTTTTGACTAATTAGTCTCTATTTGAGAAGTTGTTGCTTAGTATTGCTCATCAAATAAGTCCAATTGTTAAGTAGTTTAAAGAAATATATCTTTCAGCCGTTCCGACTTAGTAGTCAAATGATTACTATTTGCCAGTTTCATAAACATAGTAACCATTGGTTTCAAAATTCCCATTATATTTTCGTAACTATGGCTAAAAAGTTAATACAGAAAGGATATATGGGATGTGTTAACTCTATTTCGTTTAAAACGATAAAGGACTGGTAGCTTACTTTTCCCACAAGGATAAGAATAGAGCTGACGTTTCCAGTGAATTTCACATGGTCTTGCTTTCCCAAAAGGTGTTCTCCTCCCGGCTGGAGTGGACTGGAGTTTCGACCTCGCCCCAAGCGGGAGCCGAACCACGACAGTGAAGCGTGTAATCTATCCACGTTAACCACTACGCCGCATTGCCACGAGTGCCCTTGTGTCAGACAGCAGATGTGCATTTCAAGAAAGGTCAGGCTTTTCCCATATTACATCCTTTGGTGTGAATGTCGATGAAGCAAAGCTGTATTTGCTATATCAATAGACTACATTACTCATTTTTCGTTTATAAGCGAGGTGCATACATCTCGTATAACTGATTTACTGGCAATATCGAAATTAAGCTTATAACCGAAAAGAAATTAATGTAATCTATTGTTATAGCAAATATACGTCTGCTTCATCGACAATCCCACAAAAGAATGTGATATGGGAAAATGCATGGCCTTCCTTGAAATTCACATTTGCCCCGTGATCCAAGCAAAACCGTGTCAATCTCCCATTCTGCACTGTCACGGTTCGACTTCCGCTGGGACCTATGCAAGGTCGAAACTGCCGTACACCCCTTCCGGGATGAGAATACCCTTTGGAAAAGCAAGGCTATGTGAAATTTAATGGAAAGGTCAGTTATACTCGTATCATTGTAGGAAAATTCAACTACCAGTCCTTCATCACGTTTTACGAAATAGGGTGAATACATATCATACTACTGATTTACTGGTAGTCTCAAAACTTTTCTTGCATACGAAAAAGAACAATTATTTTTCGATTACTTTGCCATTTGGCAACACGACAAAGACAGTCTGAGTGAATTCATTGAGCTAAGAAATAGAATAAATGCGAATATTAAGTCTACTATGGAGTTAGAAAAACAAAATAAATTACCTTTTTGGATGTATTGGTGAGCAAGTTCACATAGCCTTGCTTTCCCAGGAGTTGTTTCCATCTCGGATGAGAACAAGTTTTAGGAAAGCAAGGCCATGCAAAATTTAATGGAAAGGTCAGCTATACTCGTATCATTGTAGGAAAATTCAACTAGCAGTTCTTCATCAGCTTAAGCGAAATGAGGTGAATATATCTTATATACTTGTAAATACTATTTTTTCTTTTCTCTATCCGATTCGGGACCTCTAACTTTGAGTTTCAGAGTGCGAGGATTTTATGTTTTAGACACAGTCGTTGTCCTCTTCAGGACACTAAAACCTTATTCTCTTCTCTAATAACCAGAACATCCAAAAATGCAGCGACCTTTTCTCTTTTATTTCACGCTATTTATGTTGGATGAAATCTGATATGAATAGATTAGATGTGAAGAATTATGGTGATATTAGTGTAGATGATTAAAAATAATAAGCGATGTACTAAATTCCTATTATTTGTCATCAGCTGAGATTAGACGAGTTGATATGAATGGAGATGTGGTGATTGTGCTGAGATGGAATAACATTTTATGAGATACTTCGAGGGTTGATGAAATGAGTTGTGATA